AGGCAAAGGACAGCTGACCACAGCAATATTTGTTTGTCAAAATGATTGTTTGATTGCTCAGTGACTGTTTGCCTGTCTCCTATTAATGGCTTCAGTTTGTACTAATTTCTATTAATGAGCAGCATCATGGTAAAAGATAAAGATAAAGATGAACACTCCCCATGTTACAGCTTGTTACTATTCAAAAAAAATTTCAATTCCCCCAGCATGTCCCAGTTACATGGATCCAGGACTTCCAAATAGAGGAAGTAGTAAGAAGTGTTAGCTTTGTGGGAAAAGTTTATTAATAACATCCAGCAACAAGGATGTTCCTAAGTGTAGTGCACAAAAAAAACCAATGCATTATAACATCATACTACTAGTACCAGCATGAAGATCAAGAACAGTGGACAACTCATAACACACTTGCAATCCACATGGAGATCACATCTAGCTTTGTGGGGAGATCACATCTAGCTTTGTGTTTAGTGCTAGTAGCAATATACATTTTAGTACATCTGGTGTAATATATCATGAAATTGGACTACAGCTGTTCCCCCCCCTCCCCAATACTTGCAGCCTCACAATCCACAGAATAAGCAGTAAATCAGCTAATTGTAAGCCAACTACTAATTGTGAGAACCATTGAATTTGGAATCACTGTGGGATTCATCTCAGTTGCCATTTGATAGTAAGCATTGATAATTGAGGAGCCACCAAGACATTCATTAGGGAGAACATCATAGTAGTGCACATAGAGCATATTTGTTCCATCATCTTGTTCCATTTATACCTGTTTTCCTTGCTTCCCTCACATTCATCCTTCTTCTTGGTGTCTTCCTGTTCTGTTTCATACTGTCTTGGAGAGCTGAAATGATCTCTGCCACAGCACTTCCTCTGGAGTTGTASGCTCTCTGGGCCTTCTTTGGATCTTTCTTCTTCAAACAAAGTAGTGAATTGTACTAGATTTGGTTGTCTTCTTTGTTGAGCATTGACTCATCAATACCTACCACCATGGCACCAAATGTAAACAGGCTGTATTATGTGCTGTCCTGTGTTTAGTGTTTTTGCCCAGTCTTTTTGTTGGCACACATGCATTCCTGAACAGAAAGTTTCATAGGACTTGAAGTTTTGATTCTGGGATTCCAGTCTACTAGTACTAGTAGTACATATCAAGAAAGTCAAGACCAAGCCAGSAGGTCAAATTCCACCATCTGGTGTTGGTCTGTCTGGCTGGTCTAGATTACCTACATCTAACATTAGTATGTGAATGACCCATTGTTTKATTGTAGGGCACCATGGTGGTGCAAAAAGAACCATCTAAATTGAGCAATATTGAGCTTATGTTGACCCTACTAGTAGTAGTATTAGTAGGTGCATCTCCTCGTATCGGACCTACCGWACCGTAGGTACGGTACATATTCTGCTACAGAGGAAGAATGATACGTTAAATCGTGGTTAAATGTACAGCGTCACCGGATATTTAATAGGTTCTTTTGAATCAGAATAAATGAGCCGGCCCCTGTCGAAAATGATTTTAGAGGATCTCACTCTCACACATCGTGACACCATCGTTCTGTGCTACGGTATGGTACAGCACGTACTACTACTTGCCGAAGCCAGTTTCTTTTCGTTGTCATCGGTTGATTTTACTATCRAAAAAAGAGGTGGTCGCATTTGTACCGATGGTGGCTGTCAGACCTGATCTTGACAGAAACCATCGTTTTACTCACGCTATCGCATCAATGAGCACCATGATCAAGTGCACAAATGCTRTCTATGTGCCCAAAACATAGCTTTTCGTTAATCAATCGATGGCAGATGGTCTTGTCATCAAGGACAATASCGAATTCGCAAAGGCTCTGAAAGCAACATTCTTGGGATCTTGTTACGAAACAAAAGCTATTCGAAAATGAAGAAGGAAATCGCAGYCGTCCTTCTAGCAATATATTGGGGATTCGACGAGTATATCGTCAGYGCCAAACAAGACGACACMTACGATGGCAGAGGTTCCGGGGAGCTCGACTTCGAGGATGAGATGRTCCTTTGTTTCATGTTCGTTTTCTTTGCAATATGCATATCCACCATCGCATCTTTTCTGTGCTACGTCTCTTTTCTCGACGACAGGATCATGAAACAATACGCCGAAGAAGGWGAACTGATTGAAGGCGAGGTCGTTGGAACAGAATTTACAAGGGGTATAGATACTGGTGTYGACCACACTGGAAACAGATTCAATACCGGTGAGAAAGAACATTTCGTCTCCATTGAATACGTGTTGCGCATTGCCGAGAACCATCGAGTTCGAGTTCGGAAACATCTGCGAGCGCTGGAATGCGACTTTTTTCACCCGGGGGAAAAGCCCAGAGAGGACGGGATCCTGAATCCGTGTAAACTTGGCTGCGCTTCGAAGAACGAATACGCAATACCAACGCCCAAGCCCAGAATTCAGATTATTTCAAGTCGAGATTCCTTCTTCAAGAGTTTCCAGTTTGATCCTGGAAAGATGCTGGAATTGCTCGTAATAGCAAACCATTCTCTGTCGGCATTGCCTGCAAGACAAGTTCACCGAAGAATAAGTGCGAGATATCGGCTTTGTACCGTTTCCTTCGTGCTTGCAGCATTTTTGATCGCTTCATTCTGTTTTCGTCTCGCTACGCCATTGCTTCCGCGCATAATTTATAGCGGAGCAGAAGACGACGGGSGGTATGTATTRTCTATGGGAATAGGGCAAGTGTCTCTCAGTTCCGTACAAATCACCATCTTTCACACACTGCTAGTTTTGGSACCCATACCATGCATACACTGTCTGCTGTACAGACGAATAAAGGAGGCGCTCGAAGGGGAATATTTTGAGACGGGAGCCGAGGTAATAAGTGAAGGCCGAGATGATTCCTCCCTTTCGTCAATCAGTGASTTCGGGTTCAGTCAAAGTCTCTCAGCACCGTCAACATTTACGTGACAGGAAGAATTCAGGTGGCACTCGGATGTTATCATGTGCTTTTCCAGAGAACACTAGTTGGAACACTCTCTCATCATGGATAGTCCCGTCATAAGTTCCATGTTACACAATCACCTGATAGTATGTTTTATTCTGTGGGCGCTGCCTCTCTGTTTTGACTTGGAAACGTCGATTTTACGCCCGGCGATGGTTTCGTAAAGTTTCGGMTTTTCCACAGTTTGGCTTCCTTCGATAATATACGTTGCTTGGTGTCGTCCCGCTCCGCGGCCGTGGCGTTTCCCTCGCTTCGTTTCTTGTTGCATCCGCAATGGCGCAAACCCCGGTGCCGTTCGTGGCCTTTGGCGCGCGCACGTGCCGCATCTTGCAGTGCTCGTCCTCGCAAAAGCCCAGCAGCGCAAAGGCCGGACAGGGCACGGCCCTGGGGTTGACCCTCACGTGCCGAAAGACGCAATCCTCGCCCCGCAGGCACTGGCCGTGGCGCTGGAAAAACGAGCACACGGGCATGGCGCATTCCTTGGGGATGTCGTGCCGCTTGCGGCAGTACGGATCCGAGCACTCCACGCCCTTCCAAAAGGTSGGACAGATCGGGGTTCTCTGGTCGGGGCGGACCCGGACCAGCCCCATGTTTTTCTTCCGTGCAAAGTTGCTAGCGGTCGGCGCGGGTCTCTCGTCGGCACCGGGTGTTTGGGAGGGCGATGCYTCGTTCTTCTGATTCTTCGACCAGCGAAGGTGTTGGCTGGGAACAATGGTCCGTTGTCTGACYCGACTGGTTTCTTTGTAGG